GAGAAATTTGGAACAAAATCAAACATGAAGAAGCACATTGAGCGCAAGCATCAGAATCAACAAAAGCAGTATGTGGTGAGTAATTACCTTTGCACTGTTCAGTGGAGGCTAAACAAGCTCCTTCTTGTATATCTGGTGAAATAATTCAACTTGTTATTATATGATACTTGTATAAGTTCAAATACCATGACTGGGACTTAAGCAAACACGTGAACTGAACTGTCATTATTTGGCCTCTAATGATAACTTAATTTCCTCAATAGTGTGACTTTGAAGGCTGTAACAAATCTTTCAAGAAGCATCAACAACTTAAAGTTCATCAGTGTCACCACACCAATGAACCTCCCTTCAAGTATGTGGATTATTTTAATACTGAACTTTAACAGTTAAACACTGTAGATGAAAATAGGTGCATTTTGTCAGCCTTTTCATTGATGTGGCTCTAAAAAAAAATAAATCAGTTTGTAGTCAGGGCTGCAAGTATATTTCTTGTATTAGTCCTTTGCTCAGTGATATGTTTTGAGCAACAATCTTGGTGACTTGGTAACTTCAGCATGTAGGAATATAAAAAGGTAAAACAGTATACAAAAGTATACTTGTATACAAAAGTTCACAAAAGTATACAAAAATTTAAAGACTTAACATCTAAAATTAAAACCAAAAAAAACCAGTTAAACAATTTGTTTGATGAGTGGAGCTTAGCTCCCTAGTCAAAGCAACTTTGCAAGTTAAGTAGAATCTTGTAGTATTAATATTGATGATAATATCTTATGCACGTCATTGTTCACAACAAATTGCAGACTGATCAAAGAAGTTTTTGTTGTCCAAGAGAAAAATATAGAAAAGAAGATTACAAAAAGTTCACAAAACCTCACAGAAACAATTGAATTAGAGTCACTCACAAATTTAACCTTTAAATTGAGACCTTAGAAAAGTCAAGATTTGTCAAAACCTGAAACAAATACTAAACCTGACTTTACACAACATTGATAATGCTTTAACTTAAAGTTATAGAACTTAAAGCAAACAAGAAAAGTACCTTCATATAAAAAGTTTGTAACATTTTTTCCTAAGGTAATAAATATATACAATAGTGAAACTGTGTAACACAAAGTAGTAAATAGGTGACAAGTCAAAGATAGTTTAGAGCTAAAAAAGAGAGGGGGAATTGTAGTAATATAGAAAGGTAAAAGATTTTAGAAAGTGCAAAAAGGCTCCAGAAAGTAGACATAAAACTAAGAAAGTCTGGGAAATTTCAAAACCTTCTCATGCAAACTAGGAAAATAAGAACCAAGTAAATACATTTATATTTAATATAAGGAACAAGAACAAGAAGTTATTGATAGTTTGAAATGTGAAAAGTCCTAGATATATGCTTTGCAAAGATAGAAAAAGTTTCAATCTTATATAATGAATTATTGTGTCTTGTTTGAAGTTCATAGAAGTCCTTTTGTTAATGTTAAATCCACATGGGTCCTTTTCTTATTAGAGTATAATGGCTTTGCACCTTTTCTTTTATGCTATTGGTTCAAAGAATTTGTAGAAAAAGGCTTTGCATAAGCTGCCATCTTGTCTTTGATCTAGATTTGCATGGATGTTTGTTTCTCTGTGTCTCTTGCTTTTTGCTTGTATGATACAGACAGATAATAAATCCTAAGTTTGCAACCAGTCAGGGTCCCATCCTGTTTTGTGAGATGCAGGCTGATCCGGCAGATCAGCATTCCAGCAGTTTTATAAAAAATAACACAACATCCCCCCACCCCCCAGTTTTTAGTTCATAGTTTGAAATATAGGCATAAGAGCTTGCACAGTAATGAAAAATGCAGCTACCTTTATTTCCCAGTAAGAAGCAGTGACTTGGCTGACATTGAGTAGTGAGTACTACCTAGAAAAAGGGGAGAGACTTGGACACTAATCTTGGAAACAATGCATTGCAGCTCCATTTGGGTAACGCGTGACTATAGATCTGCTAAAAGCAATGTTCAGTCTTGTATTTCTTACAGGTGGGTCACACTTAACATGAGTGTTCATTCCACTTCAGTGAAATGCACTGTTATGGTTGGATGACAGACAGAAATGTCAGTGCTCTGCTGGTTCTGCACAAGCCACTTAAACCTTCCACTTTTTGTTCTTCTGTGTTTGAAGAGCCTGCTGTGTAGAGATGATACAAGGCTTGACTCTTCAGCTAAAGCTCAACTTGCTGTATATTTGGAAATCATACTATAGTTCTAACTCTCAAAGTCATCCAAGTCTATTAAAAAACTATTACGGAATTTACTTTTACAAGGTGAGGAGACATGCACAGTTCTGTAGGTGAAGGGAAACTTGGATTATTTTATTAATTTTAATAGTTCTTGACTATTAAACAAAAAATATGTAGCTACGGTGAAATAAATGAAACAACTATTTTGTACCTAGATGTAATAAAGAAGGATGTGGAAAGTGTTTCTCTACTCCAAGTCAGCTGAAGCGACATGAGAAGATACATGAAGGTAAAACTGGTTGGTTTTTCTTAAGTTATGTTTCAGCAAAGGAAAAAGGACTACTTCCAGTGCAGAGTATGCGTGGAATCTGAAAGTGTTCTGGGCCTTGTGATCCAGACTAGACAAGAACACCTGTTTTGAATAGCAAAGTGGGATATAACTGCAGGGTATTGCAGTGTTCAGTTGTGGTGTGTTTGTGGCAGTCTGAGCAGAGCTCAGGATTACTTCAGTTATTTCTTCTCCTGAGGTGCTTCCTTGCAAATAATTCATCTTTTGGAGATGGGCTGGTGGTAAAGGCATTAGCCTAGATGTCCAGAGTTTAGATTGAGTGGCCAGTTCTGCCACAGATTTCCTGTGGAGCCTTGGCAGAACCATGTGTATTTTTAGTTGTTAACCTATGTGAGAAGCTTTTAAGTGAAATTATCATAATGTGGCCATGTACAATAACCAGCTTTCCAGTGACAGGAAAAAACCAAAACCAAACCAAGTAAACCAAACAGACTAGGAAGAGTAACCAGAAGGCTGTGATTTGTACTGTGATTCCTTTTTTTTAAGATAAGGACTTGTTCATAGGTTTTTGAGGATTCTGGTCCGGGGATTTAAATAGTGTTGACTTTCTGTGGTTCCTGCCTGCTTGATAGACTAGTAGAATCTCTTTAGACTCTGGAATACTACTACATGGTCAGTATTTCTTTTTAATATGCAGGACAAATATTTATGTAGAAGTAATGTATATTCCTAGTTATTTTCATCTATTTGAGAGAAAGTGTATGGCTGGGAGGAAGTAGCTTTACTGAAGCAAGGAGAGAGAGTTTCGCAAAATTATTTAGGTCAGAAAGGATCTCTGAAGGTCACCTGGTCCAGCTCCCTGCTCAAAGTGGGGCCAGTTAGACCAAGATGTTGAGGACTACATCCAGTGGTGTTGAATGGTTCCACGGCTAGGGCTTCCACAGCCTCTCTGGTGTCAGTGATACAAGGTTTCTTATTTAAAACTGCTAGGATTTTCTCTTGTTCTAATTTGTGTTGATTCTTTATTATCTCTTATCCCATTACTGTACAATATGAGAAGAGAGAAGGAATTACTGGCTTTTAATTTTCATATGCTGGACGTGGAGTTGCCCCTTGTAAAATTGGACTGTTTGCCAGACCCCCTGTGATTGTAAACATCTGTCCCATCCAACAGGCTACGCATGCAAGAAGGAAAACTGCTCATATATAGGAAAAACGTGGACAGAGCTTCTGAAACATAATAAAGTCAGTCATGCAGGTAAATTCCAAATGCTTTAGTAAACTTACGATACAAATAGGAAACCAGCTGCTAATCTGGAGTCCTTGCTGCACTCACTTCATAACTTATCAGTGTGTTCCAAACTTGTCTACTAACTTTATTGGTAAAGTGTCTGTCACTCCAGCTAGACCTTTGATGAAAATTCTGCTCAGTATACTAACTTAACTTTGTGATTCAGTTAACAAAAAATTGTTTTATGTAGGATTTCAGATCTGGATAATTCATAGTGCATTATCCTCCTGAAGTCTATGTTTCTTGTATTTCGTGTTGATGTTAGCATTGTTCTAATAGACCACTAGGGTTTGATTCTGAGCTTCTGTAAGAAATTTTTTATTTATACTCTGCCTTTCTTTCTCCCACTTAGAGCCAATAGTCTGCAGTGAATGTAACAAAACTTTTAAACGGAAGGATTACCTCAAGCAGCACCAAAAGACACATGCTGTGGAGAGAGAAGTCTGCCGCTGCCCCAGAGAAGGATGTGGAAGAACTTACACAAATTTATTTAACCTTCAAAGTCATATCCTCTCTTTTCATGAGGAGAAAAAACCATTCTTTTGTGATTATCCAGACTGTGGAAAAGTGTTTGCAATGAAGGTATGTGTTTTAACTGTTCTGATCTGAATCCCATTATTTGAAAATATAAACTTAACTCCTTTTCTTTTCCCCCCCTGCTCTTTGTAACTGCAGCAGAGTCTAACAAGGCATGCAGTTGTACATGATCCTGAAAAGAGAAAGCTGAACTTGAAAGTAAGTTACACTCTCGGAAAAGTCTTCTCACCCCTACCCTGTCACTGCAGAGGAGGGTAAATGTTACTGTTTTAGAATGTGACTTCAAGCAGGAAAACAACAGGAAAATCTAGGTAATTTGTGAGATTCCTAATTTATGAAGTTCCTTTAGCTAATGCAGTCCTGTCCTCTACACTGATATCTTTTTTCCCCGCCACAACAGTATTCTCTGCTCCACAGATATATAAGTTTACTAATTCTGGATCTTTTTCTGCCAGGCAAAGCGTTCTCGTCCCAAGAGGAGCTTAGCCTCTCGTCTCAGTGGCTACATTCCTCCTAAAACGCAGCCAGGAAAGGATGAGGTTGTGATGTTGTCTTATCTGCAAGACAGCAGATAAGCTCATGGAAAATGGAGTACCAGCTGTTGAAATTCAGACTCTGTAGTGAAGGTTAACCAGGACAGTGTTCTTCATGGAATGACCAACACAAAGCTCAACAATCACTTTAGATACTAAAGTTAATTTTCTTAAATTTTATTTTTTGGATAAATACATATTGTTTACACTTCTTCAGAAAGTCATTGATGCAACTCATTTGATTTCAGATCTTCGTTTTCATCTTTCTTTACTGTACTGCTTTTCTTGATTTCCATCTTCTGGTGTTCTTTCAACTCTTTGTCAGACATGTGCCTGAAAATACAGGTACTCACTCCTTCTCTAGCAACTTTTGGCTTGGAAAGGTAAGTTGCTTTCGCAGACACAGTCTCCAAAATTTGATCAAAAAGCATGAACTAAAAAGGAGGAGAAAAATGGAACTAAATGAATGCCCAAATAGAGGTAGAAAAATATTTCAAGCTGCTCTGTAATAACATGACCTGTTAAGTTTAGCTATTAGCTGAAACAAGCTAGTTGCAAGTCCTAGTTTGAGCACTTCAGCTTGTCCTTAGGTCCTAACTCTTCTTTACTCATAAACAGATTTTAGGCAAGTCACTAGAGGGGGATTCATCAATTTCCTAAGATTTAGGCTGTACTGCTGACTCACAGTGTTTTGCTCTTTAAGGGTGTCCATTAGAGTGGTCTGCATCTGACTTCTCTGCACCCTCCTCTTCCTCTAGATTTAGGTATGTTATTATATGAGGCTTTTTTCTTAAGGGGTAGCATTGTTCTAAGGTTAACAAGACCTGGTAATATTGAACTGAGTAACAGTGCATTCATGTAACACACTGAATTCCTAATCTCATTATTAAGCCTTTAACTGTAAGGACAATGTAAATCAGGACTATGTCATGAAATGTTTTGTTCCCTCCCATCATGAGTTTTTCCTGTTACTCTTTCCCTGTGAATTTAACTTCCTATAAAAAGTTTTGTTCTTTTTGAATGAAATACTATCACAATTCTCCCTAGCAATTTAGTTGAGACAATTGTCAAGAACACCCAGTTCACTACACACATTGAGGAGAAAAAAAATGTCTTACAGACTATTTATAAAAATCTATTTTTGTGAATGACAGTGAAATCTCAAGGCCTTGCAATTATACTTGGAAGTTGCCATCAGCTGCTTAACATTTTTAGTAATGTTTGCTTTGCTAGTCTTGGAACACCATTCCAATAGTTTTTCATGTAGGAATGGACAACTAACCTTAGCCAAAGTTGTATAAATGCAGCTCCAGAAGAACTGTTGGTGAAATAATCCAGCTAAAATACAGATTTATTTTTTTTTTAACTGCACTGCTGAAGTTTTCAGAGTGGGTGAACTGGCTGAAGTCATAGATCAGAAAATTGCACTGGCTCCATTAATAGGGTGGTGCTGCATAGGAGTAGGAGCTGCTTTGACCCTGCTGTCCAAGCCAGTACTGCAGCTGGATTCTTAAGGAAACATGGTATTTGAACTGTTTCTCTGGGACTACTTCACCAGTGTTTGAACAGGAGCAGCTTAAGGCAGGTATGGGACCTAGATCTTCACTGAGATACTAAAAATTGTGGTGTACCCAATAAGGAGGGTCAATACTGCTGCAGCTATTTAATGTCCAACTTCCAGGAGTGCACTTACCATGTCTGTACTGCTACCTTTTGCTTGCCGGATGGTAACTTTAACATGGTGTCTCTTTTCAATCCACTGTGCTATCTGTTTAGTCTTGGTCTCTAAGTCGTTCTTGGCAATAGCTGAAGAAAAGGATAACTCCTTCTGAACCACCCCTGTTTAAAACAGAACTGAAACTCTGTTGGCTTAACATTTGACAAACCTGTACTAGTTGCTCTCTTTTGTCAGCTTTATGGTGCTTTGTCTGCTTGACTCCCTCCCCCCATGCTGCTTTCTCAGAGATCTCATTGTTTCAGCATGCACCACTCTCACCTGAGAGGGTGGTGCACTCTCACACTCACTGCTGCAAATGGGAGACTGAGTGCCTGTTTGAGGCACACAGGGAAAATCTCATCAGGGTCAGAAGGCTTAAGGTATTTTTAATTACAGTCTCGATCATATGATCCACAATGTAGGTCTAACAAACAGATAAACACTGGATCTGGACTTAAAGACTTATTGTGCAAATTCCTGTGTTCAGCACGTAGGATATCCAAAGGTAAAAGCTCTGATGTTAGATAGCTCTTCATCTCAAGCCCATTTTATTGGATGGTGAAGTGCAATATTCAACTGGAAGTACAAGAATGCCTTGTAATATATTTGAACAATCTACAGTCCCTTCCTCCTTCAAGTTTCTCTAAAGCAGTTACTATCTCAATAATTTTGTGGTTTCTGGAACAAAGCAACTCACTACCACAATAATGCACTACTCTAAAATTAGAACTGTACCCAAAGCACAGCTTTGTTAGCCTGAGGATATGAGGGGATACAAGGTCACATGCCTTTTCTAAAACCTCTTTGCCAAACAGAGTTTGATAAACTGCTGGAGCAGGCAGTCTTAAGAAAAAAAAAAAAATCAAACTGAAAAGTGTTAAATACTGAAAAAGTTCTCTTACTCTGTACAAGGAAGAGCTTCAGACTTTGTCTTCCCAGCAGCAAATGAGGAAGAGAGTGTTTCATGACTACTGGTGACAAACTATATAATTATATTGGTGTACGTGGTCCTTAGTTTGAAAAACTGCCTGTCATTCTATGCCTTAGTAAAAGAACAGAAATTCAGTGCGTTTCATGGAACCACAGCCTAGTTATATTCATTCAAATAAAGATATTTTTTAACAAGTCAGGAGATGCCAAAAGAGCAAATCCTGAGAGGTCAGTAGAAGGCTTCTCTGTGCAAGACTGGACTAATCCAAAATTTTATTTTCACCACTGCAAATCCTTAATAGCGTGGACTGCAATGACATTGCTTTGGATTTACACAAATACAAGTAAGAGGATTTAATCTCTTGAAACCACTTTTAATGCAGCATTTTTCAAAGTCCTCAGTGTTGTAGTGTTTACAGTGCACATACCTGGCTTTGGACTTGCTTTTTTCTTCTCTGCACGTTTAAGCTGTTCTTCGTGAATCTGCTGCCCAGTCATTAGTCTGTAAACTGGAGGTTCTACATTCTCACGAAGCAGAACCAGCTTGAGGCCATTTTGATCCATAAGTTTGAGTGCCTCTGCTCGGTGCATGTTTCCTAAGCTCTCCCCATCCTGGCTGATTACATGCAAAATGCGATAGGGAATTCTTCGCCCAACACTTCCAAATGCTGCTTTTCGTTTTTGTTGTGTGTGAGATTTTTCATCTGTACAAAATGGTTGAGTAAGCCCAAACACAGCTGACTTCTTAGGGTCAGATACCACTATCCAGAGTGGAGAAAAGAGCCACTTTTGTGCTGTCTGTGTCAGAAGAGTACCAAAGAACCTTTTTGCATATTTGTTCTCATTTCTGGTCACTTGACATAAATATTTCATTGTGCACAAGGCAGTCATTCTGAGGAAGAAGAAAGAACAAGTCATCCCATCAGTCAGATTCTTCTAGTTATATTAGAAAGACTTGACCTCAGTTCAATAAACCCTAGTGTTTGTAACTACTCTTTTAAAATGATACATGATGCTACTATGTGGAATCGTTGATCAACAGTCCTTTTACAGTAACAAAGGGATTTAACCAAATGAGTAAAATGTTTGAGTTGATGTTATGTTCAGTATTACCAAATCTGAGCCTGAACTTCTTTAAAGAATCTAACACTTTTAGTTCCTTTCTCCTCACTTTCAATTTTTAATCTAAATAGTTACAGACATCTATCCTGACATGGTACTCATGAAGCTATAAACTTTCTAGCATGTTTCCAAATATACCCATGCTTAAAGACTACTGAAATTCATCTTTGAGACATTTCATCCATTGGATTTTTTTCCCATTCTTCCCTGGCTCATGAAATTCCTCTGGCAATTTTGCTGCAGCTGCCCATTATTTGCATTTTGTTTGAGTCTTCAGAAACCGTCCATTTTCTAACAGCTGCAAAAAACTTTGTAAATTGTCCTGGTTTGTAAGATAAGCTTGTATTCTATTTGCCATCTGTTGGAGGTTGGGCAGGTTTGTTATCTCTTCCAAGAACGATGGTTTGCTCCGAAGAGGTAATCGTTTTGTTAATGGGCCATTGACTGACTCACTGCAGGCCTGGTAACGTAACATCATCCCATTGTGAGATGCTCCACCCAGAGGGGGAAGCCAAGCACTCTTTTATTGTATAAAGGGGTACCTTTTGGGAGACAGAGCAGCTCTCTATCTCTTTGCGGGATTCCCAGAGAAGCAGCTCCTTCGGCGGGATTCCCAGAGAAACGGCCGGAGCTCAGAGGCAGCCCCGGCGCAGAGGAAGACCGGCCCAACTGGCACCAGATCTTCAGAGAAAACTATACCCTTCTAAAGATCACCACTTCAGCTGCAATTTATCATCCACTGCAAGAGGAGCAGCTATCATTTCAACCGGACTGCTACCAACACCCCGAATCCTCAGAGTGTCAGGTTGTGGACTTTATCACTAGTTTTGTTTGTACCAATTGCATTTGCCTTTTTAAATTGTTATTTAGTTTCTCCTAGTAAAGAATTGTTACTCCCATTCCCATATCTTTGCCTGAGAGCCTTTTAATTTAAAAATCCTGGTAATTCGGAGGGAGGGGGTTTACTTTCTCCATTGCACAGGAGGCTTTTGCCCTCCTTCACAGACTCCTGTCTTGTCGAACCAAGACAGAAATAAAGAGCAATCTGTGAGTATTCTCTGCAGTTTTCCTATTTTATGTTTAAAAGGAAGCAATTACAGGAAAATCCAAGGATGATGCAGGAAACCAAACATGTGTCATACCACAGAAACTGGCAAGAGTGAGACCCCTTTTGCTCAGTAGGGAATGTGACTCTGCTCTATAAATACATAAATGTATACACATATATATATACACATATATGACATGGTATAAACATGCAGCCATGTGCATACATACACATGGAAAAAGTGTAAACCATCAGCAAGGATAAAAATCTATTTATAATTCTAATCAGTGTTAGCACAGGAACAAGTAAGATAACTTGCCTGTGAATAAACTTAGTCTGAAAAGGGGACAGTGTGGAGGCTGGCATGGATAGCATACCTCAGCAGTAGGGACAATGTACATGCAAACTGTTTGAAGAAGGAATGAGATGAGTTTGTGAACAGGGTAGTCTCTAACGACTATGTGCTACAGCTGGATCCAGAACTCAAGCTAGCCACAGGGCACAGAGAAGAAATAAGATGATTTCCACAGCAGCCAAAAACCAGCTGTTAGAGCTACCTTCCCTTCCTGCCCTGGACTCTGCCTCTGCCCAGTCCAGATCCCTGTAAAACCAGTGTTTTTTCTTCCCTGTAAAAACAGCTTTTTGTCTGGCTTTGACTACAGCTCTATGACTGAACACCCAAGTATCTTTGTGCATAGCCACACAAAAGCCACGATGTCCTTGTTTTTAAAATTGTTTTATAAAACAGCTCTGGATCATACACTGCAGACTTGGTCCTCCTCAATTTGGGCATCACTGCTCCATTATAGAATGATATAATTCATCTTCCATTCAAAGGAGCCTGGCTTGCCTTTGAGAGCTACTGATTTATAAAATTAAGTAAAAGTATCTCAGCAATGGAACAGCAGCTTGTTTTAAGGAAATGTTGACCTTGCTCTGCTAAACACATGGTGTTGTTGATATTCTCCTTCATTCTCTGGCACTATTTAAATTAATAAATCTAGCCATAGCTGTCTGAAAAAAAAATCCTTTTTTATGGAAGGGTTTTTCTTTGCCTTGGACGGCAGACACGAGTGTTTCGCATTGTGCGTCTCGCTCATCCCTGCCGAGGCCGGCTGCCTTCGCTGGCTGGGAGCTCTGAGGAGCGGGCGGCTGCGGGCGCACTGGGAGCCGCGGGCGCAGCCGCGCTTCCCACGCCGGGCGGCCGGCACGGGACGGGGGTGGCGTCCCGTGGGAGGCGGCCAGCCTCCCGCGGGTGTCTCTCCGGTGAACAGGGAAGGAGGGCTGTACGTGGGTGTGTGACCGTGCCCTGTCGCGCCCGCCTTCCCGGCTCTGCGTGTCGCGGCGGTCACTGCGCGTGCCCGCGGCTCCCTGAGACCCTCTTACCTGCCGGCCGGGCCGAGCCGGGCCAGGCCGAACCGCCGGCCGCGGCCCGCCGCAGCAGCCGAGAAACCGACCCCGGCCTGCGGGAAGTGGCGGAACGCCCCGCCTCTCCCCCTTCCTTTTCCTCCTGCTCCTCCTCTTCCTCTTCCTCTTCCTCCGAGGGCGCCTCCGCCTCTTGCCCCCGTCCCGCGCGTGCCCGTGGTCGCGTGCGCGCCTCCGCTGGCGCACGGCCGCGTGAGCGCGCGTGGCGGAGCGGGCCCGTGTGTCCCGGCCCCTGTGCCCGGTCCCGTGTGTCCCGGTCCCTGTGCCCGGCCCCTGTGCCCGGTCCCTGTGCCCGGTCCCGTGTGTCCCGGTCCCGTGTGTCCCGGCCCCTGTGCCCGGTCCCGTGTGTCCCGGTCCCTGTGCCCGGTCCCGTGTGTCCCGGCCCCTGTGCCCGGCCCCTGTGCCCGGCCCCTGTGCCCGGTCCCTGTGCCCGGTCCCGTGTGTCCCGGCCCCTGTGCCCGGTCCCTGTGCCCGGTCCCGTGTGTCCCGGTCGCTGTGCCCGGTCCCTGTGCCCGGGCCTGTGTGTCCCGGCCCCTGTGCCCGGCCCCTGTGCCCGGCCCCTGTGCCCGGCCCCTGTGCCCGGCCCCTGTGCCCGGCCCCTGTGCCCGGCCCCTGTGCCCGGCCCCTGTGCCCGGCCCCTGTGCCCGGTCCCTGTGCCCGGCCCCTGTGCGCTCTCGCATTTCCAGGCCGGCAGGCGCGGCGTGCCCGGCTCCGAGCGCGCCGCTGCTGGGAGCTGCTGCTCCCCTGCGCGGCTCTGGGTTCCCGCTGCGCCTTCGCTGTGCTGCCGTGGGTGAGGGCTGCAGCTGGGGCACGGCCCCGCTGTGCCCTGGGGCCATCCCAGCAGGGCGGTTTGTTGCTGCGAGAGGGGATTGTGTGTGTGCTGAGGCACAGAATCACAGGATTTGGGTTTGGGTTGGAAAGGATTTTAAAACCTCATCTACACTAATCCTCTTCACTGAGCAGGAGAGCAGGAACGTCTTCAGCTCGATCAGGTTGCGCAGAGCCCTCTGTCTCCTGACTTTGAATGCTTCCTGGTATGAGGCATCTACTATACCCCGGGGCAGCCTGTGACAATGTTTCGCCACCTTCCGTGTAAAAACTTCATCCTTACCTCTAGTCTAGATCTACCCTCTTTTAGTTTTAAACCATAACCCATTGTCCTGTCACTCCAGGCTCTGCCAGAAAGTCTGCTCCCATGTTTCTTACAGACCCCATTAGGCGCTGGAAGGCTGCTGTGTGGTCTCCCCGCAGCCTTTCCAGACGGAGCAGCCCAGTTCTATCTCCAAAGGAGAGGTGCTCCAGCCCTCGGAGCATCTTTGTGTCCCTCCTCTGGACTGGCTCCAGATCCGTGTGCTTCCCGAGCTGGCGGCCGCAGAGGCTGGTGGCATCCAGAGGCGGATGCAGCCCTGCAGCGTAGCCCTGTCCCCGTCCCTGTCCCTGTCCCCGTCCCTGTCCCTGTCCCGGCGCGGGGAGCGGGCAGCGCACGGCGCAGCTGAGGCTGCAGGGGTCAGCAGCGTGTGCGGCTCTGCAGCCGCGCGAGTCAGCCCCAAGGCGGCTCGGCTGCTTGCATTTGTTACCTTCTTTGGTTGGAGAGGCTCTGCCTCTGCTGTGCGAGATCCTGCGTCCAATCTGGAGACGGAAACCTTTGAAAGAAACTGAAATTCATGTGCAAGCGCCGTGTCCCCAGCTGTAAGGAACACGCTAGCTAAAGCAGTCAGCCACTGAACAGCATGGGAGTTTGCTGAGGACCTCTCAACGGAGCCCAGGGGTTCGTGTCTATCGAGGGATGCTGCTTAGCCGTTCCGGCAGGAGCTAGAGCAACACCACAACATGTGCTTGTGTTTAGAATTTAGTACAAAATGAAGCTATGGGAAGCAGCTGTTCTTCTTGCCTAAAAATAATCAGAACTTTTTATTTGATATGCTTTAGGCCACAGCTAAGTGACCCTTCTTTCCTCTCCCCTTCTTCTGTTCAGGAAGAAGAAACGCAATGAAGACCTGACCTGTATGGTTTTGGGCTGAAAGCTTTCTGTTCTTAACTGCAGTCTTAGAATGGTTTAATTTCATGTGCTTGCTGGTTTTGTTTTGTCATTGTGGTACATACATGTAAAAAACAGTCTGTCATTGCTTAATGCTCTCCATCTTCACAGAAGATGTCATGTGGTAATCATGTGCAAACCCAGAAAACTTCCCTAAATCAGTTCACAATATGAACTTCATTCACATCACCTTATCCTCATTAAAAGTCCTTGCCGGCAGTAATGAATTTGGAAAAATGCCAGTAACAGAATTAGCCAAGTAGATGGTGAGCTGTGTTAAGACCCCGAATGACAACTGTATCTTCTTCTATTATATGCAAATAGAGCTGATTTTTTCCAACCTGCTCTTTTGTGCTTTTTTGTGCTTTCTTTCTTTTTTTTCTTTTTTTTTTTTTTTTTTTTTTTTTTTTTTTTTTTTTTTTTTTTTTTTTTTTTTTTTTTTTTCACTCAGGCTCTATGCCTTTAGAGATGTAAGCTCTTTGGGAGCAGAGATTACCGTCACATCAGTGGAATGCCTAAGAAAACTGGATCTCAGTTTGATGCTATTGAAACATAAATCATTGAAATTCTACAGTATCCAGTTGTGGAGAGTGAAATATTCCTCAATAAGAAAAGGCAAAACAAAAAAGATTTTTACTATTCCTTTCATGGTCTGGAAATCAAATGTGGAATTTGAATAGGCATTAAGGGAAATTTTGGCAGAGCTGAGGCCTGGAGAGATTTTTTTTTTTTCATCATCAGCTCTGCAATATGCATTAGAAGAGAGTTTGTCAGCAGCCCCCTTGCAGTTAGAGACTATTGCCACACCGAGAATCGTCACCACAAGACAGGTAATTTTCAGCAGTGTTAGTAGCAGCAATAAAGCTAATAATCCTCTTCACTGTGGTAAAAACTACCTGCA